AACTTTTGAGTAATTTTTGAAGCCCAAATATTAATTCTAACTAGAGGTCTTATCGGAAATTGATAGAGATATAGAAAGTCATTAAATGTAGCGATTTATTTTTTTGATAAAATTATTTAAGTCGTGTATAAATGATAATCTTGAATTTACTAAGAACGCGAATACTGGCCTTAGTAAAAAAAATATTTAAAAAGTAAATCCGCACAATTTATTTAGTAACTAAGTGGATTAAAAAAATATATTACGAACTGCTTCAAATTATGAAATAAAACGTAATTTTTATTCAAAAGTTTATATAAAATATAGCGACGGAAGAAATGCAATACCTTCCATACAATGACGATAGGCAACTCAGGTAGCACTTTTACCTGTAAAATATTAAAACCTAATGACCATTATACTTATATACAATGGTTTATGACCCTATTAGACCAGTAACAAAAGAATCTCAATGCCTTCCATTTATTCGTCTATTAGTACCAACGATAATTGACCGATAATTAAAAAAATATTGTACATCAATAAATGTAATATTCAGGAGTAACAACGTTTTAATTTTTTAGACCCGTTTCATACATTTTTTTCATACATTTGATGTAGGTGTATTGTTACCTACTTATCAAAAAGCAATTTAATAATATCGATTACATAAAAATTATGTACAATTTGGACGATGTACCTATAAACATAACGAATTGTTTGTTGTCGGCACCTTCTTGAGTCTAGCAGCTCTGTTAAAAAACTGTTCATACAAAAATTGATAATCTTGTGTCTTACATACTTTAGGTGACAAATCTCAAAGAAAATTTCAACCAGCAATTTTGTCGACCAATGAAATGCGGATTTCGTGTCACATTTCCATGGCAACCAAGGAATTTATCGTCAATTTTTTGACGTAAAAAGGTAATAATGTTTTGAACGTCACTTTTTCGTTGAGGGTCACTATGGTGTGAAATTTTCTTACCGAATACCACAGTGATTGAATAGAATTTTTTTCTTGCTCACGAATATTTTGCAAAAGTTCAAATATTTGTGAGCTCGAAAAGTTTCCGGAAATAGCAAGCACTACTATTACAAGTGATAATTTTTTATTTCAGCATGTCGTTAGTAAAAAATTGTCAAAGTCCCCGTGTGAGATCTTGTCGAAAATACCACATTCCCTTCGTCGGTACTCGCGTCCGACGTCACGTGCATCCCCAATTTGCGTTTGAAGTTTTACTCCACCATCAGTAAGATCTTGGCGGGGGCCACCACATTTCAGATTGTTTTCAAAATGGTGCCGTTGGAAAGATCTTGTAAACGGACAGAACAACTGCGTGGCGAAAATTTGTTTTTTTCCTGGGTACAAAATTAACCTCATTTTACAAGGCGCACGTCTTCGAGGGGTAGTTGACTTAGGGTGCCCAAAATGTATCTTCCTCGAATTTTGTTTCTGAAAGCTCGAATCGCGATCTCTCTTTCTCGTGTGGCTAATAGAGCTATGAAAAGTGCCCCAAAAATTGAGAACTAGGTATTTTGTGGAGAGTTTTTAGCAAAATTCATCTAAATGCGAATTGTGGGTACCGACAAAGGGATTGTGTTAGCTTGCGACAAGATCTTCTTGATGGTGGCTAATACAATACTGATCTACCACACAAAAATGCGCTGATCTTCCTTCGATCCCACACGAGGACTTTGATAATTTTTTAATCTACCTATGCTTTTGATAATTCCACTGCAGGTTTGACGGCTAGCCAAATAAACTATTTTCGTAAAGCATCAGGCGAATGTCGTGTTGGAATTGGAAAATTTCCGAAAATCTATTAAAACATTTTTTGTAATGAAAAATGAGTCATTTATTTTGTTGTAAATTAGATCAGAATTCAGATATATAATTTGATAAATGGGGGAAGGTTGAAAACGCAGCAAATACCGGGCTACATTGCGGAAGCCATGCGAAATATCGAAAACTGTTCATCTAATTGAAGAAAAGTACTATTCTTACATCCGCGCACCTGTGAAAATCGTTATCATATAAATTTAGAAATCTATGGGGCCGTAGTTTGATCGGATGTAATAATTGTTTAAATAAATTTGTGCTATGAACCACAAAAATTGAAGACCAGTTGTTCTTGTTTCGGAAATTGTTCCCTTCATTACCCAAGTTCTCAAAAAGTCATTATTGTAAATCCCTATATAGGAAGTAAGTAGGAAATCTTAGAAAGTAATACATTAGTAATATTTTTATATAGGTATGTAGAGCTTTCAGCTTTGATTTCCTATTCTATATTCAAAGGTTTCCAGTATTAGTAAAACTGTAAAACATCAGGAGAAAGTTGAAATTCCATAAATCAGTTACTTTTGTTGAATAGCCGCTAATGAGGGTCTGGAATCTGGTTTTATTGTAGGAAGATGAGGTCATTTGCAGGTAACTTATGCCTGGTGAAACTTGTCGAAATGCACGATTGGTTGCCTATATAATTATTTGCGTAGGCGCAGCTTAAATTTTGAATGGCCTGTCCCTATCCGCCTTAACACCAAATTCAGTCCACATTTTCCTGTTCGTTGTGGCTCCGTCGCAAACAAGACCATGCACTCTGACATTTACGGCTTCGATTCTCTTAATTATTTCTAATATTAATTTAATTAAACAGAGACCATTTGTAGGCCCTTTGGCAGCATAGACTGCGACAGGTTGGTCAAATTTATCCGCCAAAGATGACCACATAAATACAAGAGCATGATCTGCTTGTTTGTCAGACGTTTTAACGGTTTTCTCATTACCTTCACCAAAATCTTGGATCCCGATCAATTTCATGTTTGTAACATTCAATTTTATGGATTGCCGAACTGTCATCTCGTCAAAAATCAAAATCCCGTGCCTTTGAAAATCATTTTTCTCGCTCATTTTTGCTTTGAAAGCATTAAAAAATTCATCATCTATACCGCATTTTATTTTTACCCTTGAAAGATATTTTCTAATGGTCGAGACAGCAGGCAAGGGCAAAATATCATTAGTTCTAAGAAATTTGTACGAGGCAGAATTTTTTATGTGCAAAAGTAAACATAGCAGTAACCAATCGGATATGTAACGTCTAGAAGTTTTTCTATTATATTTACACGTTTGAATACATGCTTTTATTAATAATTTTTGAGAAGAAGGCATGTTCGGAAGATGCGATATTTTTTCTAACACATCTGCTTCCTGAATTGTCTCAAGTTTCTGCTTTGTTTCTTGTAATTCTTTTGCTATCTTTCGATGTCTCATCCTCGCCCTTCTAAGGCATTGCTTCACATTTTTGAGTAATTTATATTTTGAGCAAATTTTTGTCGTCTTCATTCTACGTTTGTAAGCTCGGATTGCCTGACTTGAGTTTTTACAATAATTACATCTACTAATATCGTCAGGAACAACCCAGCAACACTTGTAATGTCGCCATGTTTCATTAAAAATGTCCGTAACGTAACATCGGTTTATAAAGTTTGGAAATTGAAGAGTGCTAGCACCTCCAGGACAAATTATCATTGACGCGAATTTATTCAAACAATCTTGGAATTCGCTTATGCATGTAGGAGTTTTCTCAAATACACTCGTATCTACTGAATGGTCATAAATGTAACAATAGATTCCTTTTTCGAAAATAATAATTTTTTTCTTCATAACTACATTACAATCCAAAACTTTTAATTCAAATATCGCAATAGCGTCTTGTGCCTCAGTTATATGCAGTTTCCACGAAGCTGAAGGAAGCGAAATTAAATTAATATTACGTCGTAGTTGATTAAATAAATTGTCATCTGAAGTCGATGCAATTGTAGCTAAAATTTAAAAAAACGTGTAGGTGGATGCGTTTGAATTTTTGGGACATATACTTACAGTTAAGATTACAATGTGATAATAAATCCCTGTTTTCATTAAGGTGACTTTCATTTGGTTTCTGTCGTTTTTTAGGAAGGATCTCATGTTTTTCTATTATTCTACGTTTGTGCGGAATTTTAGAAAGGTATTTAGGGCAATTAGGGAATAAACAAGGAACTGCTCCTTCCGCCAGTTTTGGTTTCTCTAGTTTAATCTGCGTGTTCATTAATAGATTAAAGCGATTTAAGTAGCATTATACACAAACATACCGTATAAACTTCATTCTTTAGTTCACGAATGATATCTGTTTGCGGAAAATGTTTTTCACATACCTACATAATCATTAGTAGTCAATTCCCGATCTTCCCTTGGAATTTTTGTACTCCACTGTAATAGTCGATCTTTTGTGATTTTAAACAACGAAACCTTTTGTTTATTTGATGCGTAACCACTATCACACTTTGGCACGCAACATGATCTACCCATTTTGTACTTTTATTATAATGGTCTACTTTTATTATATTTGCAACGTATAAAATCAACACAAAAGTCACAACATCAGTGTTATACCGCGATCTTTACGCGCCAAACTACCTAGACCCTTTGCCGCTATCTCACTCTAACGTCCAGGATACGTGCCGTGCTTCAGTAAAGTCGCCGTTCTATGCAGGCTGTCGGACCACCTCTCTTATTATTCACCGTGGGCTGGACTAAGGAGAAGGACCAGTGGAAACCGCTCTGGACACTTCACCTCGAGATCTGGAGTATAGGGAATTAAAAATAAGATCGCAGCGCCGCGGTGGACAAATTGTAAAGCTCTGCAAGATATGTAAACTTTGCTAATCTTTGCTGTTTTGTATATATAAAGTGTGTATGTTTTGAATTTTTTGAAGTAATTATATACGAGTGGATCACGAAATAGCTTATTTGAAGTAAATTGATACAAGCGCAACTTCTGCCGTTCCGCGTAAGTAATGCATAAGTTCAATAATCTAACCTGACGTAAAATATTAACTTTCTAGGTTATGGAGAACAGATTCTCGATATGTGACTATCTACTGTATATAAAAGGGACAGATAATTCTAGAGTGGTGTATGAAGGGGAACATGTTCTTAATGCAGGACACATCATACTGTGTGGAGTAACAAACATGGAGGAAAATCGTCTAACGTTGTATGCACTTTGTTTACAAACGAGTGCCTTACAAAGTGCACCACATAAAATCGAAGGGACTTTAGTGCATGATGACGAAAAGTGGGTTGTAGAAAAGTTTGCATGTTCTTGTAAAGCTGGGCAAAGTGGTCGATGCAAGCATATTTCAGCAGTTTTGCTACAATGTTCAAGGTTTTATTTAATCTATGCAGGTTAAACAGATGATATTTTGATATCCTTGTTGTAGGACTTCCCTCGATAAACTTGAAGCAGTTTCGCAAACTGATATTAAATGCACATGGTCTGCTCAGAAAGGCAAAACACAAGATAAATATAGAGCAATTCCTGTTAAAGAAATGCCGTGCATAAAGCAAAGTGATGGTATGAAATTGGACGAGGCAATTTTAATGGGCATACACGATAATTTGGTGTCTAAATTGCCAAATTCAGCATTGGCATTACACAAGTGAGCAATTTAATGTTACAATGTATATTATGTTAATGAACTTTGTAGGGCAGGACGACGTTGCACAAACCTTTCCACCTTTGAGAATGAAGAAGTGTTTACTCCATATGATGAGCATGATGTAGTCATTTTAAATCACGCAACGCAATCAATTTTAATGATGGAATTGTATCATTTTCATGTAAATTTCATAGGTTCTTGTTGTAAAGAATTGTTCGATAAACACTTATTGAAAGATATTGACGAAATATTGCTTAAAACTAAACAGTCAAAAGAATTTTGGAATATTGAAAGAAAATTTAGGGTTACAGGTTCACGAATTTATGAACTATATACGTATAAATCAGATGATTGGCAAAAAAAAGCAAATCGTTATTTTAATCCAATAAGTTTCATGAATAAATTTACTAAGCATGGCATTGAGCAAGAACCAGTTGCCCGACAGATTTTTATGGATGCTACGGGCTTGAAAGTTGTAGAATGTGGATTGGTTGTTTCTCACTTTAATTCCTGGCTTGGTTATTCACCTGATGGAATAATTGTTGACCAAGACGGTAATCCAAAAGAATTAATCGAAATTAAATGCCCATTTGCAGGTATGTTGCAATTTATTATTAATCTATTGGGGTTGTTCGGAAAGTCATTTCGTTTTGTGTGGTGAAAATGAATGACGAATTTTTTAAAGTGTATAAACATTTTATTAAATTATATATTCTCCATTTTGGTCCAATACCTTTTGCCATCTTTCGGGCAGGAGATTGATTCTACGCTCATAAAACTTCTGGTCTTTGCTGGCAAAATACTGGTCCAAGTGAAATTTGACGTCTTCATTTGAGGTGAAGGTCTTCCCGTCCAAAAAATTTTGCAGAGACCGGAACAAGTAGTAGTCTGAAGGTGCCAAATCTGGAGAATATGGTGGGTGTGGTAGTACATCCCATTCAAGCTGTAAAAGCTTTTGGCGGGTTACCAAACTTGTGTGAGGTCTCGCATTATCGTGGTGGAACACTACACGTTTTCTATTGACCAATTCTGGCCTTTTCTGTTTAAGTGAATCGTTCAATTTGTCTAGTTGACCACAGTACACTTCAGAATTAATCGTGGTATTGTCCGGTAGAAGCTCAAAAAAAACTATCCCTTTGAAATCCCACCAAACAGATAGCATAACCTTTTTTTGGTGAATATCGGCCTTCGCAGTGGTTTGAGCTGGTTCACCTTTTTTACTCCATGATCTCTTCCGCTTAACATTTTTGTAAACAACCCATTTCTCGTCGCCAGTAATGATACGCTTCAAAAATGGATAATTTTGAGAGGCAAATCACAGTCGTTAATGCGCCGAAGCAAATTTCGCTCTGTAAGAACATGTGGAACCCATATGTTAAGTTTTGAAATAAAACCAAGACGTTTCACGTGATGATGAACGGTCGAATTCGATAAATGTAACCTCTCAGCAATCTCACGAGTGGTTATTTGACGGTTTGCATCTACCAATGCCTTTATTTCGTCTCCATCGGCTTCAACGGGTCTTCCAGAACGTGGTGCATCTTCAAGATCGAAATTGCCGGAACGAAATTTTGCAAACCAATTTTGGCATTGTCGTTCAGTCAGTACATCTTCTCCATACACATCGCATAATTTCCGCCTTGCCTGAACTGCATTTTTACCTTTTCGATAGTAAAAGAGTAAAATATGTCGAAAATGCTGATTTTGATTTTCCATCTTTGATAGGGCACCAAACAAAAACTATTGCAAAGAATCAAACAAAACTTTTAACATACAAGCATTACTATGTCAGCTGTCAAAATTTTAATGTTTATGCGGCTTAAGTGTAAAGTTGGCTGTGAAACAATACAATTAGGTTCTCTGTTGAAGAAAAACGAAATGACTTTCCGAACAACCTGATAAAATAATTAAATGACTTGTTTTAGGTGCTACAGAGACCATAGGAAGTGTGGTACCTAAATTAAAATACTTGCAACTTGAAGACAATATTTATGAATTAAAAAAAAAACACAAATATTTTGCACAAGTGCAACTTGGGATGGCGATGCTAAATGTATTTAATTGCAAATTTATTATTTATTGTTCTTTTGATAAAAGCATGTTAATTCTAGATGTACCATATAATTACGATTTTTCAAAAACTTTATTGTTTAATGTTAAAGGAAAGTATTTTAAAAAAATGTTACATGTAATGTGTAATACATAAATTGTTATAAAAATATTATTTTAAAAATTTATCCTCTGCTAAAATTGGTGCTGACAAATTAGTAATTGCACAAATAATTATTATAATGTCATCAATGTAGTGTACAAGATTCCACTGAAGTTTCCCTCCTAGAATTTTAAAAATTTTGAGGCGTTGATTAGTGCGTTCAATGTGCACTCTGGCAGATGCTATTTCTTTAGTGAACATTGCTTCTCCTTCGTCAAATTGTGCTTTACCTCGAAGAAATGGTGGACGATACAGCTTAATCTCATACATTTTGCAAATGTCTTCAATTAAAAATCCCTTGTCAACCATAACTGCAGAACCTTTTTCTAATTTTTTGATTAATTCACTTCCTTGAAAAATAATTTTATCCGATGCTCTCCCTCCATATGCTTTACTAACAAAAGTTACTAAACCTGCTGGAGAAACTCCTGTCATAAATTTTACTGTAAGTGCACCTTTATAGTGTGAATAGAACCGTATTCGGCAACATAAACATTTTGGCGTCTGAATAAATATCTCAGTACAGTCTAAGACGATTTGAGTGTCTTGGAACTTTTCAAAACAGATTGGCATGTTTTGTGAATTTTCTATTTTTGACGGAAATACGATCACTGATTTTAAAATGGTGGAAAGTAACTTTATCATTTCTATAAAATAAATTCTGCACAGGACACTACTTATTCCATATAAAACTCCTAGGATAGTATAACTCAAATCACATTTTAGTTTAGTAAATGTTAATGACACTCGATCCTTGACACATAGTTTATGTATTCGAACATCTTTATATATGATTGCAATAGACGCACAAATTTCATCCAACAAAATAAAACTATTCAGTCCGGTTAAACTTGTTAAAGCTTTTTCAGTTTGAATAAAGTGGGACAATGTCAACTTTGATGGTGTATTGACTTGAATTTGAAAGTCTCTGAAAGTTTTTGGTTCACTGTTTTGACTTTCAGTTTGTATTAATGTTAATAATGCATCAGCCGCTTGTAGTTCCTCAGTGGTGGGCACTGTGTCGATATTTTCATGACAATTGTCTTCAGTTACAGGATCGGTTGCCGGTATATCCCTTAATTCTTTCATTTGGTTTCGTATTGATAATCTTACTCCACGATTCGATGGTGCTAATTCCTGTACTGAACCATGAACAGGGTTAGGTAAACACATCGTAGGAATAACATTTTTTTTCAAATTCCTCCTTTGCCGAACTAAAATACAAAATAAAATCATAACAGTTTCACACTTTTTCATTTACTTACTTGTAAAGAAATCATTTTCAGTAAAATGTAATGAACAAACTTTCATGAATTCACTAATGTTTTTTCCTATTCGAAGTTTAGTTTTCCAAATATATCTGCGATTTACGATTTCCCAAACGCCCAATTTTGTCTGAATTCGTACTGTGTCGTTGACGTTAGGAAATTTGTGGAAACTTATATCAGGGGTTCGCCGCTTCAAAGAGTTACACCCGGGTACACAGCAAAATGTATTCGCCATACCCACTACACTTGTTAATTAATTACTTAAATTTCTCAAAATTTTAACACAAGCAGATTAAACACGATAACAAAGCAAAATAAACGAAATTAAATCACCCTACCATACAAACGGTCTATAACCATTTGTTTGTTTACATATCTTAGGTACGTTTGAGCTAATGACAGTAGAGGTCGCTTTAATTATCTTAAATTCCCTATTGCAGAGCTTTGGATAAATGCGGCTGCACAACGGGCTGCGAGAGGCAGCGATGCTGTTGCCGCCGGTACCAACTGCCGTGTACCTTGGCGTGCAGAAAGTGCAAAGGGCAATGTTCTAACCAGACAGAAATTGACCAAGATATTGAGGATATGTCGATATGATTAGCACCGACATGCACATGTCCACAAATCGAAGTTAATTTACATTAAAATGAATAAATACCTGTTATCATTAATTCGAAAACTTCAAGCTTGCCTAGCCACATCCTATTTTCATAAAACTTGCCATCCATTGCCTATTCGATATATCCCTATATCGCGGCCGAAAGGCCATTTGGTGTGTTTATTCGTATTTGACAATTGAAATGATATCCAACACTACAACATTTGGGCTCAGCATTAAGTTTCACTTTTTGGCGGCCATTTTTAAAAATGGGGGTCTATCATGACTTCCGGTGGTTGTTCGGAAATGCTGACCATTGCATTGCGTTCAACAGGTTAGAATCTGGCGGCGGTGATTACAAACAGGCTTTGGTGGCTAAATATACATTTTTCACTTGAAACTTGATCCCCGCCCCGCCCTGAAATTCTAATCCTAAGGGATGAAATTTCAGGAACTACAGATCAAATCATTTTTTAAGGTCCATACAACAATTGTACAAAGCGGTATGCTTGCATCATTCTCATGAAAATCGTCGTGTACCGCGAGCACTAAAAGTCAGAAACGAGGATATAAGAACTGAACTAGGGGTAGAATCCATAATACAGAGGATAGAAGCACAACTTAGATGGTTTGGCCATTTGAGTAGAACGAACGACAGTAGACCAGTGAAACAGATATGGAAGGCAGGAGTTCAGAAAAATAGGGCACCGGGGCGACCAAGGAAAACATGGAATGACTCAGTCGCAGAAATGTTGAAGAAAAGAAGACTTACCTGGAGAGAAGCTACAAACATGACGCAAAACAAGGAACAATGGGCAACAGCAGTGCACGCACCAGACACTTAATTAGACATAAGGACTGATCAGTATACGAAATGTCAGTATAGAAATTGTATTTACACTTCACACCTCAGAGTAGATGGTTTTTGATAATAATAATAATAATAATAATAATAATTTAAAAAAATAACAAAATTTGTATGAAATATTAGTAAGTAAAATACTAATGCTACATTTTCTTTCAATGCTATGTGGTTTTCTAATTCCTCCATATTATTTAATATTAATAATAATTAAGTTTACGCCTGAAATATTGGATGCGTGTAAACTCTTCTTGAAATCACGAAAATTTCATACCACAAGTATCAAAATGTGATTTTGCCTGATTCTTTGACAAATGCAGAACTTGGCTATCATTCATTTTGCTACAAGGAATTCAATGTGAAGGAAAAGTATTTGATAAGTGACAGCTACATTCAATAAATTAATGTAAAACAGTTTCACTGTATAATATACAGTGATATTCATGTAGAAGTAAACCTAGGGATTTTCTAGGAACTTCTTTTGCCTACTTTTACATGATAAAAGGGCTTCTAAAGGACGCCTAACTTTATGCAACCAAATTGACTACCTACAACCTACAACAAATGAAGATCTGTCTGTCATATTAATTAATTTGAATATTATCGTTATAGCATTGACTTCCGTGTTCTAATTTTCGTTCGTGTGCGATGTAATGAACTAAAAAAAATTTGACATTTCCAATTGGTATAGTGCCGATTACAGTCAAATGAGCTTAAGAGATTTATTTTCTGTGAAGTCAAAGCAACATTGGAATGGGAGAAATTTTTTATTTATTACGATAATATACCTATTTTTAATTATTTATTTCAGATTCGACAGTTCAACAGTGCCATCGCGTCGTACAAACAATAAACAATAGGATCGTTGCTACTTGCAGGACTTCCTGAGAAGTACGCCCCTATGATTATGGCTGTAGAGCACTCGGGGATCAAAATCACGACAGATTCAATAAAAACGAAGTTACTGGATATGCAGACACCTGGAGTAAGTAGTGGCAACGGCGCATTCGCTGTAAGTCGAAATGTCAAGTCAAACTATCGCAAACCCTTCAAGGGAAAATCAGCTGGTGCAGGTGGCAGTCACGTGACAACGTCGGATGTGGGTCAATCAAGTTCAAGTTACAAAGTACCAAAATTAAGGTGCTGCGAAGCGATAATGGAGGGGAATTTTGCAAGGTATCTACAGAATGCTGGCATAATACATCAAACATCAAATAGTCATACACCTCAACAAAATGGTGTGGCCGAGCGCTTTAACCGCACACTTGTCAAAAGGGCAAAATGTCTTTTATTTGATCAAGGCCTACGCAAATTTTTATGGGCTGAAGCGTGTAATGCAGCATGCTACCTAAAAAATCGTACAGCATCCTCAACGATTCCGAAAACCCCATACGAATTATGGACACGTAGAAAGCCAAACTTAAGTCATCTTCGAGTATATGGAAGCGTAGCCATGGCTCATGTCCCTTAAGTCAATAGGAGTAAGTGGGATCAGAAGTCTGTTAAACATATTCTTGTGGGCTACGATCAGACTACGAAGGGATATACGAGGATTGTTCAATAGAAACACGTTTAGAGGCTGTATAACATTTTTTATTCAACGATTTCAAAAGAAGTCTCCATGGCATGAATCCCACTGTTGTACTAATCTGTAAATTCCGTGCTGGTAAAATTCTTGAGGCTGCTTAGGGAACCATTCTCTAACCGCAAACTGTACCTGAGCGTCCGATTTGAACCGCCGTCCTTTTAGTAATTGCATTATTAATGGGCCAAAAACATGGTAATCGCAAGGTGACAGGTCGGGACTGTAAGGGGGATGTTGTAAGACTTCCCACCTCATGCGACTAAGCAGTTCTTGAATCGGCTGGGCTACATGTGGTCGGGCATTATCATGCAGAGGAATGACACCATTTGTGAGCTTCCCGGGACGTTTATTCTTGATGCTGACCCGTAAGCGTTTCAGAGTGTCTGTATATCGCATATACAGCTTTCATTCTCGTATAAATTTTCGTTGACTGACGTCCTTCAGCGGCCAAAAATTAAATAACCGCACGCAAGTTGTCTTTGGATGGATTTTCTACCATGGATGCCATTTTCAAACGCAGTCCCAACGCTTAGAAAAGAGCAAACTGCAAATAGTTTTGTCAGACGCTGTACTAGTATGTAAGCAAACAATTTAAACAATTTAATTCGGTTGCCATGACGACCAGGTCATGGCTGCATAGATCAAACGTGTTTCTATTGAACAATCCTCGTAGATGTTTTAA